CACGGAGATGGGGACGACGTGGAACACGCCGCTACGATGCCGACGACGGAGGCGGCGCCGCGAGACGACGAGCCGGGCGACCGACGGGACGTCGACGACGAGAACGATCGGAGACGACGATGATGGACCGCGGAGGGGTTTGGATGGAGGGGAAACGATGCCGAGGACGACCTTGCCGCTGCGATGCCGGAGGTGGTAGTGGTGCAGCAAGCCGACGAGCCGGGGAGGAGGAAGGGGCGGCCGAAAGGACACCGGCGACGAAGAGGATGGAGAGGCCGGCGCGGCGACGGCGTTCCGGCGAAACCGAGGAGCAGCCGGGGTGGAGGACGACGCTGCGACGTCAACGGAGGAGACGGCGACGTCGGTCGGCGTACCGGCGACGAACAGCAGCCGGCCGGAGACGGAGAAGTGGTGGCGACGCCACTGGACGCCGGCGAGGACGCGTCTCCGGTGATTTCCCCGCGAAACGGAGGCGAAAGCCGGGGAAAAGAGGAGCAGCTGCGACGCCGGGAGAAGTGCAGGCGCAAGCCGGAGGGTGCACGGCCGAGCAGGGAGGTGCGGCTGGAGGTGGCCGGCAAGGAGGAAAGAGAAGGGCGACAGGCGGGGAGGCAGCTCCGGGGGTCTCCGCGGGAAACGGAGGGCAGGCCGGGGTGGAGGAGGTGGCGGCGACGCTGGAGGAGGCGACGGCGCGGCCGGCCGGCGCACGGGCAAGGCGGTAGGGGCGGCTGGAGGCGTCCAGCGGCACGGGAGAGAGAGGGCGACGGTGGGGAGGTGGCTAGGGACCACGGGAAGGCTCGGGAGGGGGCTAAAACGAGAGAACGGGGGATGAGGATCCCATTTTATAGGATGGGGGAGAGAGCCGGGCACGGGAGAGGGCGGAACGGCGACGGGAATGGCGGCCGGCGGCAAAGGTAGGCGGCCGGACTTGGCGCGTCCGTTCCCGGCGATTGGGGGCGGCATTCAAGGGGGAAAACGGGGGTAATCGAAGAGGAATCAATGGGGATTAATTCCCCCCAATCAATTTGGAAAGAGCCGGCTTGAATAGAGCGGATTTAGAGGAGGAATGGCGCTAGGGTTCACGGGAGAGAGAGGAAGAAGGCCGGCGGCTGGAGGTCGGGGACGCGCCTGACAGGCGGGTCCCACGCGGGAGGCGCGCGGCGTCAGCGCACGTGCGGCGCGCGTGCGCACGCGGCTGGCTCGGGCAGGGAGGCGCGGCTTGGGCCGGGAGGCGGCCCAGGCGGGAGGAGGCGGGAAGCGGCCTGGGCCGGGCAGGCCGGGAGGGGAGGGGGGGGAAGAGGCAGCCCGGGAGAGAGGGAGGAGGGAGCTGGGCCGAGGAGAAGGGGGGCCCAAGAGAAGGAGGGAGAGAAGGAGAGGAAGAGGAATAGAGGGAGGAAGAGAGAACTTTGGCCGCGGGCCGAGAGAGAGAGAGGGAGGACTTTGGGCCAAAAGAAAAAGGAGGATTATTTTTAGGTCTTCTTTTTAATAAACTTTGATAATTGTTTTTGTTGTTTAATAAATATTTCCGGTGCTCTGAAAATTCAAGTAAAATTTGAGGGCTCATTTTAGACCAAGGAGAATTTAACAAAATTCTCCAGGCCACATTCGAATTTTTCTTGTACGTATTTTAGTGTTTGCCGATTTCTTTCCGAATTTTAATTAATTCTATTATTCCTTTTAGAAAATGATTTTTATTTCGGGATGAATTTATCAGGACGTGACAACCGTCTTGTGTGAATGCTTCAACCATTTGCTTCTTGTTTCCTCCATACACTCCGAACACGCCCATTTCCCTTTCACAGTTTGGCCAGAAAGGTTGCCAAGGGCCGGATAATCGTTGATGGTACAAAACAGCATCGCTTGGAGGTTGAAATACTCTTGTGCATATGCGTCCCATGTTCGTGTGCCCTCATTCCATAGCCTTTCGAAGTCATCGATTATCGGTTCAAGGAACACATCGATATCGTTGCCAGGTTGTCTCGGTCCTTGAATGAGCATGGCAAGCATAATGTACTTTCTTTTGAAACACAACCAGGGAGGAAGGTTATAGTTAACAAGCAGAACTGGCCATGTACTGTGACGACTGCTCAAATCACCAAAAGGATTAATGCCGTCCGTACACATTGCGAAACGCATGTTTCTTGGGTCATCTGAGAATTCCTGGTAAATCCTATCGATTGTCCTCCACTGTACTGAATCTGCTGGGTGCCTCAGCATAGTATCGACTTTCCGTTCCTCGGCATGCCAGCGCACAAGCTTAGCTTGTTCCTTGTTCGCAAACATTCTCTTCATGCGCTCCGCAATTGGGAGATACCACACCACCTTTGCTGGGCCTCCCCTCTTTGACTTACTTCCTTCACCTTCACTCTTTGCTCGTTTGTATCTTGATGCCCCACAGATAGGGCAGACATCCAAGTCAGCGTATTCCTTGTAATACAAAATGCAGTCGTTCGGACATGCATGAATTCTTCTGACCTCCAGGCCCAACGGACATAATACTTGCTTCGCTTCATATGTCGTCTGAGGTAAATTGTTCCCCTCTGGCAACAGATCCTTTAACAGCTCAAGGAGTTCTGTAAAACTCTTGTCCGACCAGCCATTACTAGCCTTAAGCTTCATGAGTTCCAACACGCATGACAACTTGCTGTGCTTCGACTTGCATCCATCATACAACGGCATCTGGCAATCTTCCACCAACTTACTAAACTTCTCATAATCTCTGTCGTTGTCCTCTGCGTCTTCAATGTCATGCAACATTGTAGATAGACATTGAGTGTCCAAATCTATGGTCTCTCCACCTAAAGGAGAAGGTACGAACATGCCTTCTCGAGCTGCGACGGTGTTCTCTACATCCTGATCCAACACTTCTTCAGCTGCGACATCAGGCGCCTCTTGCTCTCCATGCTTGGTCCAGCAGGTATATTTCTTCATGAATCCATTCATTATCAAATGAGCATGCACTTCATCCTTGTCTTCGATCATCTGTTCATTCTTACAGTCCCTACATGGGCACAACATGTGCATGCTCATCCTACTTTTTCTGTCATTATCCGCAAATGTGACAAATTCAGTGACCCCCTCTCTATACTCGGTAGACGAACGATGCGCATAGTACATCCATCTACGATCCATCTGAAATCAACAACATACGAAGAAAAATAAATGATGATCGATATGTTGAGAATGAATGGAGAATAATGTGTTTTTTACCTTGAATTTTAGCAAAAAATCGCCCCCCTTGCCCTCCCAACCGATTTGTGAACAGTACAATGGTCGGGATGGAAAGCAGTTGGCAGTTTGGGGGTATTTATAGACCCAACACACCTCAAACGGGTTAGATAAAAAAAGCCCGTCAAAGGTATTGCTCATACCTTTGACGGGCTTCTATTCAACGACCCGTCACTGGTATCCGCTCACCTGTGACGGGCCAGAAATGAAAGCCGTCACAGGTGGCGGCCCATCACCTCTGACGGCTTCTAATGTATCGGCCCGTCACAGGTGAGGTGATACCAGTGACGGGTTGGAAGCAAAACTCGTCACTGGTATACCTCTGACGGGTTTTCCTTTCGGCCCGTCACAGGTGAGGGGATACCTGTGACGGTCCGCGGCCGGATGGCTCACCGGTGACGTTATCCCGTCTGACCTGTCAGAGGTAATGGTCACTAGTGACCAAATCGTTTGCCCGTCACAGGTATCCCGTCAGAGGTGTGAGGATCTGGCGTAGTGTCTTAATCTGATGATTTTCAAACTTCAAATGTTACTAAGCGGGATGTGCATGATAGTACGTCCATCTTTTACCCGGTTAATTTGTTTTGGCTCGGAGAAAAGGAAAATACAATGACGGGCGACGGCAAAAGCAAAATCAATATATAGCTCGTCTCTTCTCTTGGATATACAAACTTTGCTATACTTACGGTATACTAAGGGGTTGTTTGGTTTGCTCCCAAAGTTTATCAAAGGTTACCACACTGTTAGATACAAGTTTGACCAAGTTAGTCTATTGTTTGGTTCATAGCCATACTTGTGGCAAGATTCCCTCTCATCTATTATGATCCCACATGTCATCAACTCAATAAAGTGTGGCATAATCCTATTTTGCAAGCTAAGGTGTGGCTCACTTTTTATAAACCACAACTTAGACAAGTGTGACATAAAAGTACGATGAATGATAGCAAATTTAGTATAACATCCAAACAGCCCCTAAGTTTATACGTATTAACTTTATATATACACGTGTGCTATACAAAATTTATATCTATATACATACATATGTAACTTTACATATACGTATATATAAAGTTATACGTGTATATATACGTATACATATAAATTTTATACATATACATACAAATTTTATACACATATATAAAGTTTGTATGTATACGTATAATTTTTCTATGTGTATATATAATTTTTTATATACTTTATATATACATATGTATAAGTGTACATACAAACTTTATATTTAGAGCAATTTTATGGTCCTTAAGTAGGTACCATGAGGTACTACTTTTTCTATTGTAAATTTGGTACCTCTTGGTACCTAGGTACTATAAGGTATCATGAGGTACCAAATTGGTACCTCATGATAACCCCTCAAGGAACGTGGAATTACTCTTATATTTATGTATATAAAATATATAATATGTAGGTACAGTTTGAGACTAGATCCATTCGATCTCTACTCGAAATGAGAAAAAATAATGATTAATTAAGTAATAATTATGATTCTTTTTAATTTTTAAACAACTTTCACACAGATTTTTTTTTCTAAAACGTATGTAGTAATGAAAAACGAGAAAGTTGAAGTTTGGACTTAGGCCCTCTTTGTTTAGGCTTATAAGCCTACTTATAAGTCGAAAAGTCTAAGTCAAAACAAACAAGCAGCTTTTTCATTTGGCTTTTTTTGAAGCCATAAGCCACTCTAACACTATTAAGCCAAAAGCTAGGTTGGAGAAGCTTTTTTGGCTTATATGAGATAGATGTATGACTCCACCACTAAACTTAGGACATTAAATCCACTGGCTTATAAATCATATAAGCCAATAAGCTGACTTAAAAGTCTAAACCAATAAACCTAAGCCTAAACAAAGAGGGCCTTAATAAAGAAAAAGCGCCTAAGCGAGTAGCGGGTCACGCCTCACCCGGGCGCGGAACCAGTCGCCCATCAGCCGGGGTGTGAGACCGAGACACACCTCCACGTTGAATCGTGCACTCACCACACCCCCGACGCACACGGCGGATTTAGCGCGAACCGCAAAAATCCACCTGATTTCTCCACACGGCGGATTCTCAGTGGCACTACAGCGCCGTTTCTTTTCGCTGTAGGGAAACCCAGGTACGCGCCCGTCAGTACACGCTTAATTTGAACGTACGCTTAGGGAATAAATATAGCTGCCACTGAGACATCTGACTATAGCTCTCAATGGAACGGTTTTTTTCCTTTCACTGTAGTGAATTAACAGTACATTTAATTGCATTTATGCAACTGATAGTAAAATAGCAAAAGATATTTCAAAACCCTCCAGGTATTTTGGGCATTATTAAAAAAATCAAATAACTAACCAAAGGGAAAATTACAAAAACCATCTCATAAGTCACTTAACGGGATCAGCCTGCTATTGTAGGAAAATTACAAAAACCACCCCCACAAGTCACTTGAACTTTGACATTTCACCATATGAATCATTTTGTTGTAAATGCTTACTCACTATTTGATTTTGTTGCAAAAATCAACCCAGTACGAACGTTTTTAACCGGATCAGCCTGTTATGATGTAGAGCTCCATAGGCTAAGCTAGCCAAGTCAATTGTCTAAGTGTTTGCATTAGACTCATTCTTCATGTTCCATTAAGTTCTTTTCATTAGCAAAACTGTAAGTGCAACAACATTTACGCTCTCATCAACAATTTTATTTGTGAAATCTCCAAAAAAAATTTATAAAAACACATTGACGTCTCATTAAGCACAAACACACTAGGATGGTTTTTTACAATAAAACCGAATAGGAGGTAGGCATTTGCAACAAAGCTGAGTAGGATGTGAGCATTTGCAACAAAATGACTTCAAACTTCAAGTGACTTCTGGGATGATTTTTTGCAATTTTAAATAAAACAATATGATTCACGTGTTTTCTTACCGGTCTTACCTGAGATTAGTTAATTAGTCTGTTGGTATGCTCACCCAAACGAAAATAGCAGAAAAAAATGGCGCTCAATTACGAAATTGCTTAAAACCATACCATTATCTACTCCGACAATGCTTAAATGATGAAATTGTTAACGGTGATGCATCAGCACTTGCCCTTTTTCTTGACAAGAAAACAATGAGATAGCACACGGAAATTACGCTGAGTCCATGGTGGTAGTCACTGCCTCACTGGTCAAGCCACTCGACAATGTAATGCGGCACAGCCAATTCTTGAACCTTTAGAATTAGAACTGGTGATTGGAGAAACCAATTCAAGCTTCCAAAACCAAATTCAAAGCACCGTGTGGTATATATCCCTGAACTTTCAACATGTATTGACATATCACCAGGTCAGGACATCTTGCCAACCTCTGAAATTGGCCACAGTTCCTTGCAGGCTTCTCATCGCTTTTCCCATCCAAGAACCATGTGTCCTGCAAATCTCTTGTCCTTCGACATCGTTGCTGCGGCGGTGGTGGTGGTGCTGATGCTTGCAACTGCAGCACCGGCCATCTCCGTGCAGCAGCTCTACGACTATCCGACGGCAAACCTCTCGACGCGGTGGGTCAACAACGCCGCGGTGCTCCAACACAGCGTCGACTTCACCGACGGGTCAGCCGTGCGCTCCATCATCCTCCGCTCACCAGAAACCATATTTGGCCCCTCCTTCGCCGCGGGGTTCTTCTGCGCTCCACCCTGCAAAGCGTTCCTCTTCGCCATCTTCATTGTCTACACTGACGGTGGTGCCAGTATCACCTCGGTACGAAACGGTATTCCGCAGGTTGTCTGGTCGGCCAACCGGGCACACCCTGTTGGAGAGAATGCTACCCTGGAGCTGACTGGAGATGGGATCCTGGTCCTCCGTGAAGCCGATGGCAGACTCGTCTGGTCGAGCGGCACTTCAGGCCGATCTGTTGTAGGCATGCAGATCACAGAGCAAGGAAACCTGGTGCTGTTTGATCAGAGGAATGTGACAGTGTGGCAGTCATTTGATCATCCAACTGATGCATTGGTCCCTGGGCAGTCTTTGCTGCAGGGCATGAGGCTGAGAGCAAATACCTCCAACACAAATTGGACTGAGAGTAAGTTGTATATGACTGTTCTTTCAGATGGTTTATATGGTTACGTTGAATCCACACCGCCTCAACTCTACTATGAGCAGACAACAAACAAGAGAGGAAAATATCCGACAAGGGTTACCTTCATGAATGGCAGCCTCAGCATCTTTATACGTACCACCCAGGCAGGAAAGCCTGAAGCCATTATTGCACTGCCAGAAGCAAAGTCCACCCAATACATAAGGTTAGAGTCTGATGGACACTTGAGGTTGTATGAGTGGTTTGATGCAGGATCAAATTGGACCATGGTATCTGATGTAATCCAGAAATTCCCTGATGATTGTGCTTTCCCAACAGTGTGTGGGGATTACGGGATATGCACAAGTGGCCAATGCATCTGTCCTCTTCAGGCTAATTCTAGTTCAAGTTACTTCCATCCAGTTGATGAGCGGAAGGCTAATCTTGGTTGTGCACCAGTGACTCCAATATCTTGTCAAGAAATGCAATACCATCAATTCTTGAGTCTTACGGATGTTTCTTACTTTGATGAAGGCCAAATTATTGCCAATGCAAAAAACAGAGATGATTGCAAGGAAGCCTGCTTGAAGAATTGCTCCTGCAGAGCTGTGATGTTCAGGTATTATGGGCAGAATGATTCTGATGGAGAATGCCAGTCAGTGACAGAGGTCTTCTCCTTGCAATCAATACAACCTGAAATTGTTCATTACAACTCTTCTGCTTACCTCAAAGTGCAACTTACTCCCTCCTCAGCAGCCCCTACACAAAACTCCTCTTCTGCACCTACACAGACCTCCTCTTTTGCCCTTACACAAAACAAAAGTAACAAAATGAAGGCAATTTTAGGTTCTACACTTGCAGCAAGTATTACTCTTGTTTTGGTTGCTATTATTGTTGTCTACGTACGAAGGAGGAGAAAATATCAAGAGACAGATGAAGAGTTAGATTTTGATATATTGCCTGGAATGCCCCTGAGGTTATCACTTGAAAAATTGAGAGAATGCACTGAAGACTTCAGTAAAAAGATAGGTGAAGGTGGATTTGGATCAGTATTTGAAGGGAAATTAAGTGAAGAGAGAGTTGCAGTGAAACGTCTAGAAAGTGCTAGACAAGGAAAGAAAGAATTCTTGGCAGAGGTCGAGACTATTGGCAGCATTGAGCATATCAATCTTGTCAGGATGATCGGATTTTGTGCAGAGAAGTCAAATAGGCTTCTGGTATATGAATATATGCCAGGAGGGTCACTTGATAAGTGGATATATTACCGCCATAACAACGCCCCACTTGATTGGAGCACAAGGTGTAGGATCATTCTGGATATTGCCAAGGGTTTATGTTATCTTCATGAGGAATGCAGGCGAAAAATTGTTCATTTGGATATCAAACCACAGAATATTCTCTTAGATGAGAACTTCAATGCCAAATTGGCGGATTTTGGACTTTCCAAGCTAATAGATAGAGATCATAGCAAGGTAATGACTGTGATGAGAGGCACACCTGGATATCTGGCACCTGAATGGTTAACATCACAAATCACTGAAAAAGTTGATGTGTACAGCTTTGGCGTTGTTCTTATGGAGATAATAAGTGGAAGAAAAAATATTGATATCTCTCAGCCAGAGGAAGCTGTTCAGCTCATCAATTTATTACGAGAAAAGGCTCAAAATAATCAGTTGATTGATATGATTGATAAGCACAGTAGTGACATGGTCTCATACCAGGAGGAAGTGATTCAAATGATGAAGCTTGCAATGTGGTGCTTGCAGAATGATAGTGGCCGAAGGCCTTCTATGTCAACAGTTGTCAAGGTATTGGAAGGTGTAATGAGGGTGGAAAATTGCCTAGATTACAGCTTTTTCAATGCAAATTCAGTAATATCTGTTCAAGGGAACCCATCCACATATTCAGCTCCACCTCATGCATCAATATTATCTAGTCCAAGATGAAAGCAGAAGAAAATTCGATTCATGAACTTTACCTTTTATAACTATTTTTGCATTGTATCCTAGTATCCTATTTATTATTGGAGAAGTATGTTGCAGAGAGCACCAAAAGAATACATTTTGGACAATAAATGATTAAATGTTATGTGGGGACAGCTCTATGTGCGCTGTCTGAAGCAGCAGAAGCCGATGACATCCAACTGAGTCCATGTCTTCCATTTGATTAGCTTAGGATTAGTTTTTCATTCAACGGGATTAGGATAGTTTTTTAAGGATAAGACATTCTTGTTAAGAGTTTTTTAAGTGTTGGGCCTCTCTCTTATATTAAGAAAGATGTCGGAATCAATAAGCAAGCAGAAGTTAATCTCCCAAACCCCTCCCTCCCATTCTCTGATCATCACGATTCCGGGGAGGTGAGGCAACAGACCTAGCTCTCCTGTCGAGCACCACTATCACCTGAGGAGCTTGGGGTACACCCCTGGTTCCTAACAATAAATATGTTGGATTTTTTTTTTGTGATGATTTCAGTATGCCGCTGAAAAACCATTAGCATCACTACTACATATTGTGAAAGCAATGTGGGCTTTAATTTGCTAAAATTCACTTTGAAGTAAGGTTGACTCTATGAAACAAATCAAACTATATGCATTGCAAAAACCTCCTGAACCTCTGAAACCTGTTTACTACCCCATGAGGTGGATTTCAACAGTAGTTATGCCACCATATCTAATCCATTTTCGCCTTCATTTCAACATCACTCTTATTCCCCTAAGCGCATGCACAAGTAGGCACTAATCAAACCATGTAAAATCCACCAAAAGAATCCCAAAATCACCATAACTAGATATGGCCACATGAGATGCTAACCCTTAAATCAAACAAACAAATATCTTTCAAACCTCATCTGCTTCCTCTGAAAGATCCTCCGCACTTCTCTTAGGGAACAATAGCAGGAGTCTTAGGTCAAAAAAAAAAAAAAGAACTACAGCAAAATTATTTTCCTTCAAAAAACAAAAATGGAAGAAGCCTATCTTGTGTTCACCCACTAAACTTTCAAGTCTCCTATGACTGGGTAAGAAGCCTACTACCATCATCATCTCTGGTCCCGTGTCTTCCACCTCAACCCAGATTACTGGCTACAGCAAATAATTTGTATTTTGCATAAATTATTTCAGCTTTTCCATTTTTGTTTCTGTGGGCTGCAACTTCATCAAGATACAAGATATTCATGAAAAGCTGGAAGCACTTCCTGGTTCCTTAATCTAGGAATATGCATATATACCAACTTACAAATTTGATGGGGAAATGTGAACTTACATGTTCAGGGCCTGGTAGAAATCATTGTTCCTCGCACCTGCATTTCGATCAGCTCCCATGACCCAAAGGATCAAGATTACGCCACTGCCCATTTGTGACTTGAGTGTACGGTGCCATAACATCAAATTGTTGACAGAGAACACAGCCCGATAATGGTTCGTTCATGAAGCCGCAGAGAATTCCAATTATCTGCCTCACCACAAACCTGCACGGTGCATCAGTCGGCTCAAGTGAAGTGCACCACAGCGAAGCCCCCCAGTGAGGACGGTACGTAGGTAGCATACTACTAGGTCTAGCTAGGCTGCAAATTCGACCTGGCAATGCCATTGCCATGGCTTTCCTTGGTCCCAGGCAGCACGCCAATAGCTCACGGTGTTGACTCCCGCGCATTTTGTCGAACACCTCCCGGGCGAGCCAATATCAGCCATGGCTGTTGGCGCGGCCGGCCAGCGCGATCTGCAAAAACCAGAGATGAAAGGGAAAGAGACGCGGTAAGCGTGGGCGGGAGGGGGGCGTCATCGTGTCGGCACCGACGCCGTCGCGTCCAGCAGGCGGCGGCGGGGAGATCGATCGGCGTGGTGGCGGTGGATGGATCCGTCGTCTCCGCGCAACCTACCTACCTTGGTGTTGGTGTTGGTGGCACTTTGGAGTTGGGACTTTGCTTGGGTGGCAGTCGGGGGAAGAGGAAAGCTCAATCAATCTTGGGTGGCAGTGACACGTAACGTCGAATGTTTGTGGTGTATCTGTGGAAATATCGAACATAAGCCCAACAAGTGTCTTTGAAAAAAACAACAACTCATAATTAAACTGCATTCGCAGAATATCATCTTGATAGGCCTAACTATACTTTTTCCATCCTAAAATATATCAATCTTTGAGCAGATAGAAGATATTCTAATACTACCAATTTAGATATATGTCTGTTTAAATTCATAGTAATAGAATATGTACCATTCACTCAAATGTTGTTTATATTTATTTTGGGAGTAGTACTGAGATTCCAGCTCTGCATGACATGCACGAGAATAACCAAAGTCCAAAACGACGGTTCTTAAAAAAAAAAGTCCAAAACGACCTTCCTACAAGGCTACACCTAACTTAGTCACACTTCTCCAAACTAACTACCAATAGTAACAACAGAACAAAATTTCGGTGCTAGGAGATTTGCACAGCTCGAAATTACAAATCGGATCATGGACATGTTTTTTGCAAGTTGACAGCACAAATGCATCCCCCATTTCATTCTCTACTTCTCTTTCTTTCTCGTTCACCTTGATGCTGCCCTCTCTGGAGTTCTCTCTCCGGCACCATGCCCTTCAGTCCTCTTCCCAACCTCTTCTTATTGCTAAGAATTCCCCTGTTTTTGTCTTTTGATTGGTTCACTGACACTGTGCCAAAGCAGATCAACATATTAGTTCATGCGTAGAAGAACGAGTGAGGTTGCTCCGTGCTTCCTATAGTCGGCAGGTGTCTCTATCAAGATGATCCTACAATCCAAAACTAGGTAGAAATCAGCAAAAAATTTCAGCTGGTAGTTGGGTAGAAACTACCTTTAACAGTCTACTGGAATGACAAAATGGGGGGGTCTGGTATGCTAAAGTATCCCTTTTAAGATAAAGTACCTATGAATTTCTAATCGGTGTCCATGAATATGGACAGCGATTCTTCCTAGAAGGATCGAAAATCATATGATATGATCCTAGCTGCCACTGAGACTCCTGGTTGCACACTATAGAAGATGGTGGTGGTTGTTGAAGTATAAAGAAATTATAGCCTTCTACATCAGTTTGCAATTCACATTAACTTTTTAGGTAAACTAAATAGTACCTATAACTCAATGCACAAAAGAAAGGATTCAAAAGACCTTGGTTGCTGCAATTTAAACAAAAAAGGATTCAACCCTTGTAGATTCCAACTTGTCGGATTCGTTGGAGCTTAGAAGTGAAGAGAAGTACGTGTTGAAATACTTGCTCCGGTTATCATTATTTGATGTTTAATTTGATAAGACCTGATCAAACTTTGGAACTTTAACCGTCATTAACTTTTGAAATACTTATCTTTAAAACATAAAAATGCTATGTGTAGATTTGTCCCAAAAACACTTTCATAATCTCTTGAACTTATTGAATTTTATAAAGTCATTATAGTTTAAATTATGGTTAAAGTCACACATCAAAAACCATGGAATTAGGGAGTATAAGTAAATTACTTGTTCCCCTAATATGTAAATTTCAAACCAACCGTGTTACCTGGTCTTACCTGATTAGTCTTAGCTGTTATGCTCTCCCAGGACGAAAATGGAAGAACGGAATGCGAATGCCGTGGCATGCTTAATTATGAAGCTTCATATTACCATCCCGGTGTCTACTCTAAAAATGCTTGAATTGCTAAAGTTAATGATATCAGCATGTGCTTTTCCCCATGATACGGCAGAAGGAAACTTGTTCACCAGAATCCATGGTAATCAAAGTTACATGGGAATGCCTGTAAAGCCAATTGTTGTCACTTTAGGATTAGAAGTGGTCAAGCCAATCAATCTTCAAAAGAAATTGAAAGCACCGAGTGGTATGGTTCTGAACTGTTGACTTGTATCCGGAGTGCGAGAAGATGAGTAGTCGACCACTTGGGAGCAATAGCATGCGCCAGCTGGCAAGGCCGCGAGGGTGAGCCATCTTTCTGGTGACCATATCAGCTCATCGATTCAGTGTCATCAGGTCAGGACATCTTATCAGCCTCTGAATTGGCCACAGTTTCTTGCTGGCTTCAATCTCGTTCCTTCCCATCCAAGAACCATGCATCCTGCCAATCTCTTCTTTGAGATTGTGGTAGTGCTTCTGCTGCTTGCAACTGCAGCACCGTTCGTCTCCGGGCAGCCCTATGACTATCCTATGGCTAACCTCTCGACGCGATGGGTCAACAATGCTGCCATGCTCAAGCACAACTCCTACACCGACGGGTCAGCAGTACGTGCCATTGTCCTCCGTTCACAAAAACAATTGCCCGGCATCTCCTTCGCTGCAGGGTTCTTCTGCGCCCCACCCTGCCAATCATTCCTCTTTGCTGTCTTCATTGTCTACACCAACAGCGGTGCCGGGATCACCTTATCGGTAAACGGAATGGCACAGGTAATCTGGTCAGCCAACCGGGCAAGCCTAGTTGGAGAGAACGCAACCATTGAGCTCACTGGAGATGGCAACTTGGTACTCCATGAAGCTAATGGCAGACTCGTCTGGTCGAGCAACACTTCAGTCCAATTAGTGGCAGGTATGGAGATCACTGAGCATGGCAACCTGGTGCTGTTTGATCAGAGGAATGCGACAGTGTGGCAGTCATTTGATCATCCAACCGATGTATTGGTCCCTGGGCAGTCATTGCTGCAGGGAATGAAGCTCAGAGCAAATACATCTACCACAAATTGGACTGAGAGTAAGTTGTATATGACTGTTCTCCCAGATGGTTTATATGGCTATGTTGGATCCAAACCACCACAGCTATACTATACATATTTGGTGGACACAAACAAGAGCAGAAAAGATCCGACGAGGGTTACCTTTACGAATGGAAGCCTCAACATCTTTCTGCAGTCGACACAGGCAGGAAAGCCAGAAGCCATTATTGCACTGCCAGAAGCGAAGTCCATCCAGTACATAAGATTAGAGTACGATGGACATTTGAGGCTGTATGAGTGGTCTGATGAAAAGTGGACCATGGTATCTGATGTTATCAAGAAATACCCTGATGATTGTGCTTTCCCAACAGTGTGCGGAGAGTACGGGATATGTGCAGGTGGACAATGCATCTGTCCTCTTCAGACTAATACTAGTTCAGGTTACTTCCATCCAGTTGACGAACGGAAGGCTAATCTTGGTTGTGCACCAATGAATCCAATATCTTGTCAAGAAAAGCAAAACCATCAATTCTTGACTCTTACTGATGTTTCTTACTTTGATGGAAGCCAAACTATTGCAAATGCGAAAAACAGAGAGGATTGCAAGCAAGATTGCTTGAAGAATTGCTCCTGCAGGGCTGTAATGTTCAGGTATGACCAAAATGTTTCCGATGGAGAATGCCAGTTAGTGACAGAGGTCTTCTCCTTGCAATCAATACAGCCTGAAATTATTCATTACAATTCTACTGCTTACCTTAAAGTGCAACTTACTGCCTCCTCTTCTGCGCCAAAACAAACATCCTTATCTGCCCCTACACAAAAGAAAAGTTACAAAATAAAGACAATTTTAGGTTCTACGGTTGCAGCAATTATTACTCTTGTTTTGGTTGTTATTGTTGGTATCTATGTACAAATGAGGAGGAAGTATCTAGAGATAGATGAAGAATTAGATTTCGATATATTGCCTGGAATGCCAATGAGATTCTCATTTCAAAAGCTAAGAGAATGCACTGAAGACTTCAATTAGAAGCTCGGCGAAGGTGGATTTGGATCGGTCTTTGAAGGGAAAATAAGTGAAGAGAGAGTTGCAGTGAAATGTCTGGAAAGTGCTAGACAAGGAAACAAAGAATTCTTGGCAGAGGTAGAAACTATTGGCAGCATTGAACACATCAATCTTGTTAGGCTGATTGGATTTTGTGTAGAGAAGTCAAACCGGATCCTAGTATATGAATACATGCCAAGAGGGTCACTTGATAAGTGGATATATTACCGCCACAATAATACCCCCCTTGATTGGAACACAAGGTGTAGGATCATTCTGGATATTGCCAAGGGTTTATGTTATCTTCACGAGGAATGCAGACGAAAAATTGCTCATTTGGATATCAAACCACAGAATATTCTCTTAGATGAGAACTTCAATGCCAAATTGGCAGACTTTGGACTTTCAAAGCTAATGGATAGGGATCAAAGCAAGGTAATGACTGTGATGAGAGGCACACCAGGATATCTGGCACCTGAATGGTTAACATCACAAATCACTGAAAAAGTTGATGTCTACAGCTTCGGCGTTGTTCTTATGGAAATAATAAGTGGAAGAAAAAATATTGATTTCTCTCAGCCAGAGGAGAGTGTTCAGCTCATTAAGTTATTATGCGAAAAGGCTCAAAATAATCAGTTGATTGATATGGTTGATAAGCACAGTAATGACATGATCTCGCGCCAGGAGGAAGTGATTCAAATGATGAAGCTC